AATCCAGCATCTAAACCAGGGTCTAAAAGATAAAGATATGCAGCAACTGAATCACAAAGAGAAGCAGGAAATTGATTCTGTGGTGCTATACGATAATCAATTGCTAAATTGATAAGATTTAGTATGAATTAATTTAGATGTTGACGGTTAAAAGTATTATTAATATGAGAAACTTACAAAAAACTCGAGCTTTAGCATGCTTTGCGTATTTAAATGTAACAGTTCTATTGCTTTCAGCTGATCCTAGATAATATCCGCCACCGTGCATATTGAATACTACTTTATCCATTTCATCATTTCTACTTTCTTCTTCCTTGGTGTATATCCACTCTCCACGTAGTCTATCATTTGGTTCTTTCCATTTCTCGTCTAACACATCTTCATATTTTTTTAAACCTTTTTCTAAATGCTTTCTACTCTCTTGCCTGTATCGTTCGTCTAATATGACTTGCTCTATAATTATATTAGAAGGAACCTCGATCTTATTTGCCTCAATAAATTGCTTTTGAGCCTGTTCAATAGGCAAATCCGATATGTTACCATTTTTAATCGCTGCCACCATTGAATGAAACTCTAATTCCCATGATTTTACAGGTGGGTTTTCGGAGAGAGACATTTTTTTAATTACTTTTTTAGGCAGCCAAGAAAAACGAGTTTTAACGTTTGCATACATCAAATTTTTTTAGCCAATAAAAATTGTCGATGTTTTCAAATAAGATCCACCAATCAAATAAATTAATTCTATGTAAATTTTGTGATTATTACGAATTTGTCCTACACTAAACTCCTACATCCTGATGCTGTTTTGAAGCCACGACTAGAGCATGACTTGAGATATGACTCAAACTGTGGTGGATTATTGTACTGCAGTAGCATTGCATAAATATTATTCCGTAGCGCAGTAACAAGCAATATAGTATTTAAAGAAGCCATACAAGCATTAACATCACTAAAAATCTTTAATTGGCTGAAGTTGGTCTACAAAACCCTTCGTCATATAATGCCAGGTTTTCACATGATATTTTTCTTATTTAATCAATTGAACATTATCAATCAATATATTAATTAATTTCTCGTTTAAATTTTTATTCGTATTGATTTAAAATTATCTCAAGAATATAATTAATAAATCGAAGCTCAATTTCTAATTTGTGGAAAGTAGTTTGACCGGTAAGTAGGTTCATTATCTCGATGAAAAAAAAAAGGTTGAACCCACCTTTTTTTGGCACAGACTTATTCTGGTTGGCTAAAATTTATTATCCGCATTTTGCGATATGAATCTTTAGCAAAATTACACTAAGAATTGCTTCAATTAATCGTAGTGCATTATGCACGATCTCAGTAGCTAGCTAATCACATTGAGAGCATCATTAGTCTCTAAGTTTAATGATTATTTATTTGTTTAATTGATCTAAGTATTTAATATGGGCTGTTTAACTCCCATTTAGCTTCTTATCCATATTAGTCTGTATAACCAAGAGCATTTCTAATTATGCAATTGCTATTAATACTGTAATATGGAATTGGAGATTAACAAAAAGTATTTGTTAATTATCAAAAATCTGCCGAAATGGGAAATTTCCAGTGCAATAAAAGAAGTGGATATTGTTATCATCATTGAATTGGAGATTCGAATATTATCAAAAATCCGCTGAAATAGGAATGATGCTGCAATAATTAATCTCGGTGATTGTTATCGTCAGGGAATTGGAATTGAAAAGGATGGAGAGAAGGCATTCGAATATTATCAAAACTCCGCTGAAATGGGAAATGATGTTGTAATAATTAATCTTGGTGATTATTATCGTCATGGAATTGGAATTGAAAAGGATGCATTTGAACATTATCAAAAATCGGCTGAGATGGGAAATGCTATTGCGATGAATTTCGTTGGAAATAATTATCGAAATGGAATTGGAATTGCAAGAAACATACTACAGTTCAATGAGTGGTATAAAAAGTAAATATTTTATTTATTATAAAACTTTATTTCAATTGGTCTTTATTAAGTTTCATTGATTAAATTCTAATAGAGAAAGATGTATAAAGGGTATGCTCATTTCTTTTGCCCTATAAAAAAAATAAAAAAATTAAAAGTCATAATTAGATTTTGATCAAATTATTATTTTTTAAAATGAGAATTTTCCGCAATAAGAATCTACATAAAACCCTTTTAAGTTCCTGAATATTTCCGATTTCCTGTCCTGGTTATAATTTTATGCCGAAAAAAAATTATACCCAGGAAATCGGAAATATTCAGTAAATTTAGAAATATTCAGGAATTAAAAGAATTTTATGTAGGTTCTTATTTGAAAAATGCTCATTTTAAAAAATAATAATCTGAACAAAATCTGATTATGATTTTTATAGGGTTGCTAAATCATTTTTTAGCTAGAATTAATTTAATAGAAATTTTTTTTAAGAAATAATTAAATCATCATATCCTCCTGGCCTTAATGATAATTTGATAAAAATATTGGACGATGAGAGATATCAATTATCATGAATTAGTGTTTCAACCCGGGTATACCCGGGTGGGTCGGGTATCCGGGTTGTGATTATGATCACCCGGGTAGACTTGG